TCTTTCTGGACTTAAAGTGAATGTTTTCCTATTATTTATGGGTACATTTTACTTCTTAGTAGTACTTACTTAGAATGGAAGAGTAATGAGAGACAGTTCATTAGTAACAAAAGTGCTAATTTCTGGCCTTATAGTTTGCATGTTGTGTCTCGCACTTTAATTAGAATAATGTATTTCAGCCAGAGCATAGCTTACCCATACTTCCCTTGTACTATGTGTCATACAAAGGAGTATTGATGTAGTTAGCTGTTCTCTGGTAGGTATAATTCAAGCATTTCCATTGGTGTAGAAAATTCAATTCTCGCAGTACCTTAGAACCAGTAGGACTCTCATGAGTATTTTTGAAGCAATCATGGAGAGCTTCGTGGAGCATCATTAGCATTTAAGGTAGGCTTCAGAGGGTTCCATTTTAAGATTTGGACATTTTCATCTGGATAAGAAAACAATATGATCAAAGAAAGGGACAAAGAGAAAAAACAAAATAAGATAAAAATCTACCTTCTTAATAGGGGCAACAGTAGGGTATCTATAATTATTTTCGTACTTTATTGCCACTTGGAAGACAAAGAAGTATCCCCAGGTAGAAAGTTTTGTTAAAATTTATATGTAGGCATCATGTCTATTTTCATTCTCATCATGAATTTATCATTTTTGCTGCCATCCTTTTACTGATGTTATTAAAACGGCTGTCTTTCAAAACTTATCTTGATTGCTTATTTGCTAAATTCAGTCATCTTTTCTAAATTCTTATGCCTTTTAACCTTTCTGTATTTCTACTTGACATTGTTATATACTCATCTCTGATATCAATTTATGAAATACTTCCCTAGTGTAAAGAATGTAGGATTGAAGAAAAGTAACAGATGTCCTCTGTGCCCTGGCTTTTGTGAATAGTACTCGATCCTGCCTAATCTGTTTATCCTCTGTTGCTATTTCTGCCTTCCAGAAGTGAGTATTCCTTCAGGCTCTACTTTCAGCCCTTTGCCTTGTCTCTACAGTGCTCCCCTCCCCTCCCCTCTTTTGTCTTTTACTTTTTTTCTTTCTTATGCTTCTTCTCTATTTGTCTTTTCTTTTTTGAAGTACGTGGGTGATGTTCAATAAATGTGCAGTGATAAGTATGGAGAAAACCTCACCCACATTCTGGCCTTGGCTTTTCCTCCTGTACTCTTATTGGATCTTCATTTCTAACCCTCGCCTCTCTCTGCAGTGGCCACCTACATTTCCTATTGGGGGCCTGCTATAACTTCAAACCTGTTCCCCTCTACACTCCTCCTGCAGCCACCAGAACCATTTTCACAAACTGTTATTTCTGTAGCACTTTTTCCCTCTCAAACAGCCTTTAGAGACGAGGTATGAAATGCATAGCTTACTGTCCTAGGCCCGCCACGGTTCTGACCTGCTTTTCTTGCCATTGGCCGCTGTTCACCCACAGTCCAGTAGACGGGCCCCACTGACCCCTAAGTAAGCCTTGCAGATGTCTGAGGGCACATTTTGCTACATGTGTATCTTTACTTCCCACACCCCCTCCATCCTCGTCTAACTTTTACATCATCCCAGGATGCAGCAGCCTTTGGAACCTCTAAGACTATTGCAACTAAAGCCAATCTCATACCTTAGACCAGCAGCCTTAGAAAGCTTGGCGGAAGCATTCTACCCCTACCCTAGTCCTAACTAGTATCTTTGGACACTTGGTAGGATTGTGGCGTAGGCAGAGGGAAGGGAAGGGAGAGAAGACAAGAATGAGAGAGTAGAAGAGAGAAGACTCTCACATATTTTTTGGTTACCCAGTACTTGGTAAGTTTTGAGGTCCCTAGGCTTGTGGTTGGTGCAGATTTTGCTGCAGTGTCACCAACCACGTCCTTTGGCACAGGACTGATGCGGCAAATTGTCTACTTTATCCCTAGCAACACTTAACACCTCATAAATTCAAGATCGTTTCTAGATCTCACTCTTAAGCATCACTAGGTCTGTTTCTCTCCAGTATCATTACATTCTATTTAACAGACATGTTCTAGGTATGCCAAGTGTTGAAACGTATGGTCCGCATGCCTCTGCTAATAAGATGTATAGCAGTATATGTGAAAGGCCATTTTCTGGTTTCATGTTTGTAACTGATCAGTACACAAAAACTTTGATACTATAAAAAAGCATGTAAACATTGCAGAGTGTGTACTTTTTCAAATGGTGTCAATTGGCATTGTCAGCAGATAACTCTGAGCTTATTGTGGAGATGTCTTTTTATTTCTGGAATTTTTGAGTGAATATGATAGTATTTAAGCTTTTAAGGAAATGCCCAATCTGTTTTGAGGGAGGGAATTGGTAGTAATTTCTGAATTGAAAATGTTATAGGAAGAGATGGGTAAAAAGACAAGAAGTGCAGGAAGTTATAATTCAAATATTGAATTATTTTGCCATTTTTCTAAAGGGCTAATTGTTTGAATAGACCTGGGTATAGTTTGGGCAGAATCTAGGTAAGGCATGATTAAGATTGTTTATTGTCTATATCCTTCAGTCTTAAAGCAGAAGTGACAATATAAATTAGAGACTGAAAGAGCATTACTAAATTTTATAGTACTTGTACTCAAAGTAAAATTTGTTTTGATTCCCTTAAACTTACAAAAAGATAAATTTAGGAGTGATAATGCTTATTTAAATATTAGAACAACTGGGAAGTTTATCTGTGAACTAATAAATGAAAAACAACTACCCCCCCACCTCTCCCCCTAGAGGTTTTATTGGTTTTATCTTATGCCTACAATATATGTGTATGTGTGTATACTATATATGGCATTATATGCTATATATGGCATACATTGATATGTGTGTGAACCAATAAGTTATATGTGTGTATAAATAAATACATGTATAATATAGAAGACATATAAAAGCTTATAAATGACATACATAATTTATTGATTGACATACAGAGACATATGTGCATTTACAAATATGGAATGACACTCTGCAATATAATTTTTTCACTTAATAATGTATCAGTCACATCTTCTCTCCTTGTATGTTTAGATCTATCCTCAAGAAGAATTTAAAGCTCCAGAAATTGACTAGGCCCTCAATAACTTATTTGGGGACCACTTTCGGGTTTAAATTACGTCAGTTATTCTAGAATTTGAATTACAATCTGTCATCTTAAGTACAATGCCATCTGGAAAGTCTGTCTTCTGTAATTAATTCACCACGTATTGAATTGAATTAACTAATAAAGTTTAAGTTTGTCAGCCATAGTTCAGGATCACAGCCCTCTTTGGCTTATAAGAAGTATCCTCACTTCCCCGTCTTCATATCAAGAATGTCAGTGAGATTTAACATGCTAGTATACAAGTCTCTATGTGGCCAGGACTGCTGGTGTAATGGCATAGTGTACAGGGAGGAGGAGGATTGGAGAATTATTTGACTTGGTTGGGATAGGAAATTTAGTATAAAGTTGTATTACAGAAACACTCCTTTTGTTATTTGTAACATTGTAATAGCTATATAAGGGACAGAATGTGTGTGTGATAGGCCCTTAAGGTGTGGTAAATCAGATAAAAAATGTCATGAGGCTCAGATAATCCCTGTTGGGAACTGACAAGGCAGGGTCTCATAGTTTTAGTGGTGAGAAAGTGATGCTATGGAAGTGTTCATTAAGAGCAGCTTTTAAAAATGTTACTCCCTGTATGGGGTTGCTTACAATGTTAGATTTTGTGCCATTGCATTGTTTTGCCTTTGGTTTTATCTGCCTACTTACCTCTGTCTCTCATGAACTGTGAAGTGCTTGACAACAGGACTGCATCCATTCATTTCTCCATGCTTAGCACCGTACCTTGTGTGTAGTAGCTGCCCAGCGAATGCTTTTTAAGTTATACTGACTGCACTGATTTATTGTTGTCTCTCCTGTGTAATACACATGGATTCCGCCAGCAATCTGAAGGTAATCTAGTGCGCTGTGTTGATCCTACTAATCTCTTAGAACCAATTTAAGGTAAATGTTTAACTAAGAGAACTATCTTAGGTGTACTAAGGCAGTTTAACTCTTAAAAATTTTTTTTCTGATCAATCCTAAAATAAATTGCAATGACTATAAGAGGAGAAAAATTGCACTGGTTAGGGGTAGCGCTGTTGTACATTAATTCTCACAAATGCCTCCCCGTTACATTTAATCCTTGTGGTTTAATTTTACCAAACATGTTATAATATCACTAACTCTCCAAGATTAGGGAGATTGTAACCCTGAAACTAATTTAGAATTATTTATCATTTTGAATTTTTGAATGATTGCCCCAACTAGAGGATTTCTTAGCAATAGTTGTAAATAGCGTGTCTCTTACTAAGCATTTATTTTTGCTCACTCTGTGTCCTGTTTTCTAAAAATTTTTTGTAGCATTTCTCTGGTTTTTAGATGAGCCATTTAGGCTCTGAAAGCCAACTCTTCAACCTTCCCTGCTTTGTCAGACTGACTTAACACCTGTCCATGTTTGTTAGTGCTTTTAATATCTGTTATAGAAATATGTGCTCACATGTGTGTTTGCATATAATGGTAGGGTGGGTATAGCAGCTTCCTAAAACAGGAAAAGCAACTGGCCTTTCTGAAAAGACCTTTCCACCCCCACCTTTTTGCAGGCAGCCAGAGTTAATCCTTACATGTTTGATTGGAACAGCTGAGAGAGTCTCTTGCATATCTGAAGGTCTCCAGTGGACTCATATTGCCTCAGAGTTGGTGCCACCTTCCTCTTTTCTAGTGCTGATCCTGCCAGCTGTCCTAGCCCCTGTTGAAGCAGAGGGAAGGAGGTGTAAATGATACACAAACATACAGTATCATGAAAGGGATCCCTTTACTGCATGTAGCAGTGTGACTTCTTTTTTCTTCCATTCCTTTTCACGACACAGGGGTTTTATACTGTTAATCCTAACACCTGTCCCTGCTGGAGACATTGAGAAGGGGGGTTGTGTGTGTGTGTGTGCGTGCGCGTGCGCAAGGTCCTGCCCAAGAAGGAACAGAGAAATAATACCAGTCCCGTCCGCCTTTCCGTGTCCTGGATTGGAAGTGTTCCCTCTGACGCACTTAAAGCCTGGAGCATATATATCATTTTGGATCCTGGATACCTTGTGCTTCCTACTGTTTTTGTGCACTACTTTAAGGAGCCGGTGTTCCCTTCCTTGGCTGTCATTCTCAGCCTCAAGTTTCTGGTGGAGTTGTCAGTAAAACCAACAGTAACAGCGAATCTCTAGTGTAGTTTTCTGCCTATAACTAGTAACTCAGTTGGAGCTTTTTGCTTTTTCCTGAACATTTCTTCTGTGTAGTGTTGAATCTTACTGGGGTGGAAGCCTAGGCCAAACCAAGCTCCAGCTTCATCATCAGAGCCAGCATACCTATCTGCGTAGACTGGAAGTCAGCCAAGGATTTTTTGGTGCTACCCAGTTCCTTTGGACAGGACAGCCAGTTCACACAAGGCAAAGGCTTAGGCACTTTTTTGTACTATCTCTATCTGAAGATTCCCCCCCATTGCTATGTATGGTGTATATTGTATGGATTATCAATATCCTGTTGTCCAGGTAAGCTAAGGGTTCTAACTTGTTTTCTAGATACTATTTGATCGATGTGAAGGTTTTGTGGTGGAATGAAATGCTTATAAACTTTCTGTCTTTTGACCTGGTATTCTTCAGAGTGTAGATTTCCCCGAAGTTTTTTGCTAATTTGCTGTAAGAGGGAGATTAAGTTTTACATAGTATTGAAGGCTTGGCAGGGTGGTTGCTTTCAACTCTAGAGTTCTGAAACTTGAGAGAGATTTTTGTGTGAATGTCTCCATGGGTGTGCGCACCCACGTGTGTGTTTTAAACAAAATGGGCTTGGCATTATAAATAACGTAAAGCCACTATATTATATTAAACTTCAGGCTTTGTTTTGAGTAGATGAGAAGCATAGGTGGCAATTTCCAAATGTTGCTCTATTTTTGTTGTTGCTGTATTTTTAAGAAAGGTAATATACAGCAGAGGACATGTTCCACACTTAACATTTTAGACTATTTTATAATGGGATTAGTGGCATCTTAGTTATTAACTTGTTGAAATCTAGAATCAGAAAATTTTAGGCCATTATGTAGCATACTCTTGGATATCCTGGGTTCTGAGTCAAGTTATAGTGTTAACCACCTCCGTGTTCATGCTCAAATAGCTTCTTTTTCCTTGACCTCATTTTCTTTGTATATAAAATGAAGGGGTTGGACCAGATGATCTTTCATTTGTTATGGATTCTTTGAAATATTAATTGTGCTGAAAACCCAGAACTGGAAAATAAAAATAGTTAATACAATTAATTCTGAATTATAGATACTTCTTGGTTTCTCAGTTTTAGTTTATTTGTGTTTTCATGGCAGCTAATTATTTTTTTTCTTTGGACATTTCTCTGATAATTAGTTCTTAAGTTTTAGGTTGGACAGAAATACACAGGGTTAAAGATAGTGACTAACCAGTACATTTTATTAGGTATTTAGCCAAAAGGCTAAACCAAGCTTTTTTTTTTGTTTGGTTTTGTTTCGTTAATCCTCACCAGAGGATGTTTTTTTCATTGATTTTTTAGAGAGAGTGGAAGGTAGGTAGGTAGGGAGGGAGAGAAAGAGGGAGAGAAAATCATCGATGTGAGAGAGACACATCCATTTGTTGCTTCTGCACAGGCGGCACTAACTGAACCACTGAGCCACACCAGCCAGGGCAAAACCAAACTGTTTTTAATTGGACCTGTTGGGGAACCTCTTCAGAGTAAATTCACTGTTCTTCATTTAAGCCAAGCTACCAGTACTGAGGTTACCTGGGAGGGGAGGTGGTTATGTCTCTAGCTAGATTCTGACACACTGGTCTATACTGTATGTTTTATGTTAACTACATACAGTTTCCATTTACGGAGTTATTCAAATTAAGAGTATATTATATTTACGATAATAAGGTTTTGGTATATTTGTGGGTCTCATTTATCTATGAACTATTTCTCTGCTGGCATTAAACAATAGATCAGTCTATATGACAGCCTAAGGCTAGAAATGTCATGAGACTAGATCAGAAGCAAAGCTTCTTACAAGTAAATATTGATGTGTTTTTGAAGAGAAACATCTGTGAGCAGTAAATTTCTGAGACCCATCTAGCAAAGCAAGGGACTTGTAATAACTGTAATATAAGCAAAATTGTCTGAGGAAAAGAACTGAAAATGTAAATGTATTTTCAAAGACGATTGAAGAAACTGGAAATATATTTAAAATAATTTTAATATGTCAATGATTTTTTTGAGGTAGAAAAATGTCTCCCCCTCCAAATAAAAGTTGTGGGGTGGATTAAAAGTTTCTTTTAGAAATTATGACCTGTTTGATGAAGTGTTTTACAATGAAATTGTACTCATTTATGATAAAGTGAATTTGCCACCTGAAGTCTTCTTGGTCATTAAGATTTCGTACTGGGAAATGCAGTGGTTATTGTTTGAAACAACACTTTTCCTGGCTCTGCTCCATTTGGTAGGTTTATTCTATCTGAAATGAAGGTAGCTTAGAAAGGCAGGTAATAGAGTATTAAAATTTAAGAGTATACCCTCCATTCCACCACATCAGGGAAATTAATGGGATTGAAAAAACAATTTTAAGTTGAAGGAGCCAAAACTACTTTATAATCTTATTTGTTAATACTGTTAAAGAAACAGTTTTCTTTCAATACCTTTGTAAATGAGTGGTAGATGGCTCTTTGCTACCCAAACACTTAACTATGGTTATAAAATTTCCTTTTTTAGCTTTTGGTTATATTCTTACACCTAAGTCAAGCTCCTCATTGCATAATAGTTGTGATTCTGTACCAGTGTATTATACAATTGAAAATTATTGAGGACATGATTACATAGTATTTTTTAAGACTTGAAAAGCATTTTACATAGCTAGTAACAGCAGTTTGAAGGCAATGATATGTGAAAAACTGAAGATGCTTCACCCCTGGAACGAGGCTGTAAGTGATTCTTTTAAGGCTAGCAGGAGGTAGTGTGATAAATTTAAGATAAGTGTATGTTTATAGATTAAACAGTACATTAGATGTGTACTGTATATAAGAAAGGTTAAAATGGAATCATTTGGGGGTCTGGAACTAATTAATTCAGTTTACATTATTTCTAATAAGACAAAATGATTCGGTTTTCGAACAAATTGCTTCTCGAACAGCCTTCCCGAACGAACGAATTAAGAACTGAGGTTCCACAGAACTGCTTTTCGTTTATCCAAATCAACATCAGTGTTTCTACCTCTTCCATTGCCTGTAATTGTTGTTTCCTGAGCACTTTCACACCCTCAGCAACATCAGCACCTTGATGGCCTCTTTATGTTTTAAAATTGTGCTAATTGTCCATTTCACCAGCAACAAAAGGGAAAAAAACACAAGTATTGACAGCATGATTTCCTGAGATGTTAGCAATGCGAGGTTTAGCCCTAAACTGACTCACTGACTAGACTAGCATTTTCTCCTTTGTTTGTGGCCAGAGAGACACTTTTTGTCATGTTGATGTATCAGCATGAAAAGGTTGTCAGGTTGAGAACTGAAGTTCTGTTAGAAAATAGAGACTTTTTTTTTTCTGTGAACAACTTGGTCAGGAACTGAATTGTTCGAGATGGGAGACGTTCGAGAACCGAGGTTTGACTGTATTTTATTTTGTTTTATATTTGTTTCAGGTGTGCAGCGTAGTGGTTAGACAATCATGTACTTTACAAAGTGTTCCCCCCCAATATTTCAAGTACCCACCTGCCACCATATATAGTTATTACAATATTATTGGAAAAGTAATTTTTCAATGAAAGGTTTTGCGCCTATTTTTAAAGTTAAGCACAGCTGACCGTGAACAAAGTGGATTTGAACTGTGCCAGTCTACTTATATGCGAATTTTTTTTTTTTCTTTCAATAAATACAGTTATCCCTTTGTATCTGTGGGTTTCTCATCTGAGGATTCAATCAACCCCCGATGGAAAACCGTATTTTCGCATTCAAATTGCGGAGTCCCACCTCAGATCACAAATACTGTTTTGTCTCCAAGGTTGGTTGAGTTCTCAGATGTGAAGGGCAGGGGGCCCATTGTAGTCAAGTTACACTGAGATTTGGCAGGTGGGGTTGGGGAGGGGGGTTGGTCCATCCCCCTAACCTCAGTGTTGCTCAAGGGTTAACTCTTTCTAGAATTGCTAGTGTTGAGATAATGAAACAAAGTGAGTCTCCTCAACATAAGGCAATATAATATTTTAGGTACTTGACCTTTTTTATTGCTCTTATTGTTAATAAGATCATGCAAGTGTGCAGTTGAAATTGGTTATTTTATTAGTTAGAATTTTTGCAGAACCAAACTTGGGCTAAATCAGTTTAAAATACAGGCAGAGTAAGTAGATAGGGGCTTGTTAGATATGACTTAAAGGGCAATGAAATATAGGATCCCTCCCCAGAAAAAAAATCTATTTGAGAAATTGTTCCTGAAATTATTCTTTTGTGTTAAACATTGACTGCCTCTGACTGGATGGTTAAAATATAATTTGTCGGGATGGCTACTGTCAAGCAGAACATGTGTTGGCAAAGAGGTGGAGAAACTGGAACCTTGTGCACTGTTGATGGGAATATAAAATGGTGCAGCTGCTGTGGAAAACGGTATGGAGGTCCCTCCAAAAATTAAAAATAGAATTACTATATGACCCAGCAATTCTACTCCTGGGTATATGACCAAGAGAATTGAAAGCAGGGTCTTGAAGAGATACTCGCAAACCCATGTTCATACCAGCACTATTCACACACAGTAGCCGGGAGGTAGATGCAGCCACCCAAGTGGCCATCAGAAGGTGAATGGGTAACCAAACTATGGTATATACACACAGGGGAATATTACTCCGCCTTTAAAAGGAAGGAAATTCTGAAATAAGCTGCAACATGGAAGAACCTTGAGGATATTATGCTAAGTGACATAAGCCAGCCACAAAAGGACAAATATAGAATGATTCCACTTAGACGAAGTACCTAGAATAGTCAAAATCATAGAGACAGAAAGTGGTTTCCAAGGATTCTGGGCACAAGGAAAATAAAGAGTTATTGTTTAATGGGTATAGAGTTTCAGTTTTAAAAATGACTTCTAGAGATGGATGGTGGTGATGGTACCACATTAGAACTATGTATAATAACCATTGAACTGTATACTTGAAAATGGCTAAGATAGTAAATTTTATGGCATCTGTATGTTACTACAATTTTAAAAAATGGGTGGGGGAGAGTTAGGGGTTTGCCTGTTGTCACAGTTTTTCCTGAGGCAGTTTTATTTAACCTCTCACCCGTTGAACACATTTGCACTGAATATCATTTTGAGGTAAATGGGGCAGTTGGAGGAGGAAATAAGAGTCTTATATTACTGGGAGTGTAGCTAAGTGTCCTGATTGATGTTGAGGGCAGCCAAGTACAACTTAAGGATGCTAGGCACCTAGAAGATGAGAGACAGGAAGATACCTGCCTAAAAGGCACATTTGCCTAGCCTGTGCTCTGGTCTGCAGAATTCCCTAGAGTGAGTTAGC